TCCGAGGTCCTTCACTTGTCTGGAAACTCGACCTCTCCAAACCCGGCACCACGCACTCTCTGGGAGATCCCGGGGCCTTCAAGACTACTGGAGCACCTCAAGCAGCCCCGCCCGTCCCCCTTCCTTGTTCTGCCCGTCCGCTGGGACTGCCAACTTCCTTCCCCCCCCCCAAGAAAATCAGACACTTTCTTCCAGGTTCCCAATGTTTACCCAACCAGTCGCCTCACCACCGCCTTCCATGGGCCCAGGCTCGTCCGCGTCGACCAGCAACCCCTCGTCTACAAGCCGCACGAGTCGTCTCCGGGGCCTCAGCTATTTGCGCAATTACACCCACAACCATATTCTCTCTAGAGAACACAGTGCCGCCAACAGCCAACCTGCCTCCCTCTCTTCCACCCCGCCCAGTCAGCAGCCCGCCATCCAGGCTCGTCGAAACACTCTCACGCGCTCTGTCAGCTATTCGTCCGCTCCATCCACACCTTCGGCCATCGATGCAACATCCAACCCTTTATCCCTCGTTGCCTCGCACCAGGAACCTATAACTGCTCCCAGAACCAAGCCACCGACCCCGCCTCCAGCAACGATCCCCGAGCAGGCAGCTGCAGAGTCTTCCTCAGACGCCCAAGCATCCCCAAGCGCCAACGGCAACGAGGTAGACATGGAGGAGCCGATGCCGGAGCCCAGGACGACGAGGCTGAGGTCTTCGACTACGGGCGACGTCGCCGCCATGGCGGCTGCTGTTGCCAACGTCGCTGCCAGCACCTCGACCCACGATGCCTTGCCGTCCATCCGGTTCTCTGCTTACTTCGACCCCCGCGCCACGCGGCCCAGCTTGTCGTTCTCGCCCGTGGCCCGAACACTGCCTTCTGGAGGCGAGACCATTCGCGTTGGGCGATACTCGGAGCGAGAGAACCAGCCGGCCGTCCCCCACAACGTCCCGTCAGCCGCACCCGTGGGTTTCAAGAGCAAGGTTGTCAGTCGACGTCATTGTGAATTTTGGTACGACCAGGGTAAGTGGTACATCAAAGATGTCAAGTCTTCATCTGGTACCTTTCTCAACCACATCCGCCTGAGTCCCCCCGGCACAGAGTCAAAGCCGTTCCCTATCAACGACGGCGACATTGTGCAGCTCGGTATCGATTTCAAGGGCGGCGAAGAAATGATCTTTCGCTGCGTCAAGATGCGGTTGGAGTTGAACCGAGGCTGGCAGAACAAGCCCAATGCATTCAAGTATGTTTGCCGAACCCCGGCGCGAGAAGGCGTCCGAAACTGACAATGACGCAGTGTCCAAAATCACAAGCGTCTGCGCAACTTGACGTCCTCTGCCAACTCGACAAACTCGACGCAAGACTGCTCGATTTGCCTCAACTCCATTGCCGTATGTTTGGTGGATATCCGCCTCCACCCGTGCTTCCGTGACTGACAAACGATATAGCCCTGCCAGAGCCTCTTCGTCGCGCCGTGTTCGCACACATGGCACTACAAGTGCATCCGCGCTCTGCTCAACACTCCACAGTATCCCACATTTGTCTGTCCAAACTGCCGTATGGCCGCGGATTTGGAAGCCGACATCGAGGATCCAGACGAAGACTGGGACGTCGAGGCCGAGGAGTCGGAGAAGAAAGAAGACGACGGGTCTGGTGCTGACGCCAAGATGCCCGCTTCGGATCCCTCGCAAGATGTGCAGGAGGCGAGACCTGCAGGCCGGGCCAGCAGCGACGGCGACGAGCCTGTGGACGTGACTGGACGTCAGGAGGAACGCGCGACCCGCAACACAGCTGCCGACCGAAGCACGCTGATTCCGAGCTCTGTATCGCAGCCCATGACAATACGATCGCCATCAGGGCCTCTGCATCTCACAAATGGTTTGTCACGCGATAGGACGCCGTCGCCGCCGGGACAGCCCCACCTGAATGGCCACGAAGGCCCCATCACGCCAAGAAATGACGCGGGGCCATGGGTGTTTGACGGCAGCGCCGCCGGCAGCCGAAACGCGTCAATGTCTGAGGAGGCAGGCGGTATGCGCTCACTAGATGCTGCCACGGAGATGGATGTCGACAGATAGCGTCCGTCGACTTTGGCCAACGCCGGCGAGCCCGACGTATCGGGAAGTCGCCCTGCTCGTCGCAAACTCCAGAAGACGAACAGGCGCGGCAGGACAGATCCTAAGCGGAAGCGCTAGAGGAGGATCTGAATGGAAGCCTTGGGACACAGTCATATACACTCTAATTCGGAGGACACAACATATTAGCATGGCTATCGGAGCGTAATCATCACTATCGATTCTCTTGGAAGGCCCGGCGGTCGGCCGGTTAAGCTCACTAGCATCATAGCGGGGACTGGGCGGGCAGAGAAGGCATCAGGAGTACGGTGTTGGTCCATCGAGGCCTGCTAGAACGATTCAAGGCACTTTCTGCCTCATCATTTTTTTTTTGTGGTGCTTGAAAGAAATTAATTGTATCGAAACTGAGAGCATTTCCAATCTAAAGGTCGTACTCTGCATTCTGCTGTCTTTCTTGTGTGATTCGTGGGTGCTGCACCGAGTGCAGGGTGACGTCTGCCTCGGATGTACCAGTACTACTGCGTCTCCACAAGTCCGGACGCCGCGATAAGCCGATAAGGCAGTGCCCCGTGCTAGGATGCCAGGCAGAGAACGACAAGCTCGTCAAGATCGTGCAGTCATTTTTCGGATCCGACTCATTCGTTCATCAAGGCCATCGCGCTCCTCCCTCACACCACATCACCACTCGGCGCCAACATGCTCCGATCAATAGCACCGCGGCTGCCTCAGCGCACGCGGGCACTCGTCACTAAACCCGCATTCGCCCTGCCGTCCCTTGCTCGGTCCGCCCGCACCCATGCGACTGTCATCGATCCCATCCCGCGCGAGCCTACCGATCTCGACAACATTACCACACTCCCCAATGGCCTCCGCATCGCCTCGGAGGCTCTACCGGGCTCTTTCTCCGGCGTTGGCGTCTACGTCGATGCGGGCTCCAGATACGAGAGCAGCAGCTTGAGGGGGGTGAGCCACATTATGGACCGTCTCGCCTTCAAGAGCACATCAAAACGCTCCGCCGACGAAATGATCGAGCAGGTGGAGGCTCTAGGTGGCAACATCCAGTGCGCAAGCTCGCGAGAGGCCATGATGTATCAGGCCGCCACGTTCAACGCCGCTGTCCCGACCACCATCGCCTTGCTGGCCGAGACGATCCGTGACCCCCTGTTGACCGAAGAGGAGGTGCAAGAACAGCTCGGCACAGCCGCCTACGAGATCAAGGAGATCTGGAGCAAGCCGGATCTCATTCTTCCCGAGCTCGTCCACACGGCTGCATTCAAGGACAATACCCTCGGCAACCCTCTCCTGTGCCCTGAGGAGCAGCTGCCCTACATCAACGGGTCAACGATCCGCGCCTACCGTGACGCCTTCTACCGCCCAGAACGCATGGTGGTCGCCTTTGCCGGTGTTGAGCACAGCGAGGCCGTCCAGCTGGCGACACAGTACTTTGGGGACATGGTCTCCAGCGATAAGCCAGCAGCGGCCTTCACCCGCTCCGGTTCCGAAACGTCCGAGGCGAGCACCGACTCGTCCTGGTCCGCCCCCTCCTCCACCTCGTCTTCCCCGGCGCAGAAGCCCTCGAGCCTGCTGTCGAAGGTGCCCTTTTTCAAGAACCTCTCCACATCTGCTCCGTCCCAGGCCGCCGTCGCCGCCGACGCATCCTCCACCGACATCTTCCGCCCCTCTCACTACACTGGCGGCTTCATGGCGCTGCCGCCGCAGCCGCCTTCGCTGAACCCCGCGGCGCCAAACTTTACGCACATCCACCTCGCCTTCGAGGGTCTCCCCATCTCGTCGGATGACATTTACGCCCTCGCCACGCTGCAGACCCTCCTCGGCGGCGGCGGCTCCTTCTCGGCCGGCGGTCCGGGCAAGGGCATGTACTCGCGGCTCTACACCAACGTGCTCAACCAGCACGGCTGGGTCGAGTCGTGCGTCGCCTTCAACCACTCGTACACCGACTCGGGCCTCTTTGGCATCTCCGCCGCGTGCCTGCCGGGCCGCGCGGGCGCCATGCTCGACGTCATGTGCCGCGAGCTGCGCGCCCTGACGCTCGAGCCGGCCCACGCCTCGTCGGCGCTGCGGCCCGTCGAGGTCCAGCGGGCCAAGAACCAGCTGCGCAGCAGCCTGCTCATGAACTTCGAGAGCCGCATGGTCGAGCTCGAGGACCTCGGCAGGCAGGTCCAGGTCCACGGCCGCAAGGTCCCCGTCGGCGACATGTGCCGCAAGATTGAGGCCCTGACCGTCGACGACCTGCGGCGCGTCGCCAAGCTCGTCGTCGGCGGCATGGTCGAGAACCCCGGCCGCGGCAGCGGCGCCCCCACCGTCGTGCTGCAGGAGGCCCAGGCGCACGGCGTCAGTACGCACTCGCTGACCTGGGAGTCGATTCAGAACACCGTCTACGGGTGGCAGCTGGGCCGCAGGTGAAGCGGCGCCGCCCTGCATCCTGCCGTTGACGACGTGGCTCTTTCCCCTTCTAGAAAAAAGGGACGTGCCGTGGTGTATAACTAACAACTGTTTTTCTGTAACGATATTTGGCGGGGTGCAGCATGAACGCGCAACAAACAGGATTGGGTTGACGTGGGGTTGACGGCTTCACGGCGAGGGGGAGTGGACATGAGGGCTGTACATCAAGTACTGTTTGCTACGCTGCATAGGTATCTAGACGAAAAATCTCTCAACAAGTCTGTGTAAAGCCAACCAACCGTCATGCGCCAATGTGTCATCCTGTCTTTGGGGAGGTATACATACGACTAAAGGCGTCAGAAGAAGCTTGTATGTCGTCTTAGGGGTATAAGTATGCAGCGTGTGCTCATCAAATCTAGTCACTATTTCAAACTCCGCAAAAGAGTCACTGTCGTCCTGGCGGGCAGGACAGCACATGCTCAGAGCTTCGATCGCACGGCTTCCAGCCGGTACTTGACGTCCTTCAGCGCCTTGGTTGTGGGCTTCCAGTCGTCAAACTGGCGGAGGAGCTCCTCCGTCTCCGCCGAGAGCTCCGTTTTGACAAAGTCCTCTTCAAGGAGGCCACGCATGATCCACGGTAGGTGGTAAGGGTTAGGGTTCGTGAGAGGGCCAGGCCCACCCGTCGTTTTATTGGTACCAGCAGAGTCTGGCCGGTGAGGGTGCCGTATCTGGCAGTGGCGATTCGTCACGTGTGGGGGGACGTTGGTCGTCTCTAGCGCGTGAGAGACGGCGAGGTCGTAGACTTGCTCATCGTAGTAGAGTCGTGAGTGCCCCTCGCCTGAGTAGAGGGAGCCGGCGAGCGGCGTGGAGAGCTCACGGATGAGGCCGTGGTCGGAGACACCGAGATTGCGGAGCTTCAGTGCAAAGCCCACTAAGTGGGCGATACTGTAGTTTTTAGTGTGAGCAAATTCGAATGGGAAAACGGGACTCACAAGTCAGGGGCGTGAATGCGACCGTCAATGAAGACAGCGCGGTAGATGTAGGGGTGGGACGCGGGAGAGTATATGGCCGACTCCATGGGCACCAGCTGGTCGTCGATACTTCCAATGTAGGTGATTCTTGCACCGTAATCCAGAACTTCCTTGAGGGCAGTTTCGTATCGTCTAGACACCTCACTCTCTGAGTTGGAAAAGTCCCACAACTCGGCGGCCGTGCCCATAAGCATGCCCATACTGGATCTGTAGTCAAGAAACGGACCGAGCGATACGCCAGCTGAAGCCAGATTAGTCAATGCACCAACATGTTTGGAAAGGATACTCACCCATGGCGCAGACTCCGATTCTTGCGTTTGTTATGATGCCTAAATCAATGAGCTTGGCCACCAGCATGATCGCCACAGGCACACCTTGCGAGTGGCAAGCGAGAATGATCAGGTCTGCGCTTCGCAAGGGCTCAATCCAGTTAAGAAGTAGCTTCCACAGGTTGTCCACGCGATCTGCAATTTTGCCCTCTCCCTCGAGAGCAACCTTCTCGATTTCGCAATCTCCACATCCGTGAGCATCGGCCCACCTCCTGATACCCTCGGCGCAGTGGCTTGCGAGACGCAGAGACGTACCCGTCGGCTGTCCGACCATGGGCCGAAGGTATGTAGCAGGAAACAGGCCGTGGACACCGATGGCAATGGCCTTCTTCACCTTTGGCGTTTCTTTCACTCGGAAGACATGGTTCGTAGCAGGTTGTTGTGTACGAAGGAGAAGCTGTGTGATCTGCTTCAAGATGGATGGATTTTCCTTCATGTGATATGTGCTGCCAAAAGACGGGAGCAGCAGATTAGGCGGCAGCGACTTGGCGGGCAACTCGGAAATAGACGCCGGCTTGGTCGCTGCAGGCTTGCCTGGGCTTTCTTGCACAGATTCTGCGATGGATGATTTGGACGATGCTACAGGCTGTGGTGTCGCCGTGCCTGTTCGCATAGATGCGTCATCCATATCCATGGACTGAGGTCGGAGTCTCTTATTCTTTTTCCCGGCCGCCGTGCCTATCGTCGCAGCCTTGAGCTTGGTTTTGAAATCCTTCGTTGAATCAGTCGTTTGTGATGTGACGATACCCTGTGCCGGCTCAGGATGAGCCTCTGATCCTTGTCCGATGACAGCCATCTCTCCGGTTTCTGGCTGCGGCGTCTTGCCGTCAGCCTTGGGCTTTACATCTCTTGACCAGAATGCCCACGTCGAGCCAGCCGGTGGCGGTGGCGACTGAACAGCCGTAGGTTCCGGCGCGTCGGTCATCGACACGTCTTGAGGTTGTGATTCTGGGTCAACTCTAGGTCCAGGAACCGGAGTTTGAGGAGTCTGGGGTTGGCCTTCGGCAGCCGCCTGGGGTGTCGCGGCAGACCAGAAACCAAACCAAGTGGAGGCGGTGGGAGGCGCCTGACGCTCCGGATCAGTTTGTGGCTCTGGGTTCGGTGTCGATGGTCTCTCCGACCTTGGATCTGCAATCGGCGCTGATGCTGTTTCAGGCTCTTTGGGCGGCTCATTCGTTATTGTATCATGTGCAGCTGGCGGCAGTGAGTTCGAGTCGGACAGCTGCGTCCTGCCCAACCATCCGAACCATCCTGTCGCCGTTAAGGGTCTTTCGGGCGATGATTTCATTTCAACATCCTGAGATATCGTGTTCTCCTCTTTTGCCTGGTCCTCCGCAGGCACGTCCTTCCCATCCATTGTTTCCTGGTCTGCTGGGCCATTCGTCATCTCAGTGTCCATCCGTTCCGAGTCTCCATTCGCCGAAGTGCTTTCCAAAATGTTGGGCAGAGTCGCTGCTGAAGCCGTTGCCCCTTCAAGGCTCGACGCGTCGGTACTCTTCTTGGAATCGAAGCGTCTCAAGTCAGATGTGCTCGGTGGCCGATTAGTGCCACCAAGGATCGTCTCCCGGGCAATCTGGGGCACCAGTGCGGACGATTTGGGTGCACGCGGCCAAGATCCATACCAGCTTCGGCTTTTGCGCACCTCCTTCGGTCCGTTAGATGGTGTCTTGGGGGTTGTGTTGTGTTTGACGCCACTGGAGGTCGGCATATCGCGTTGTCCTACCGAGGATGTCGTGGTGTCCAGCATGGGAGGCGCCGGTGACGTAGTAGCAGGCGTCGCGGGGTTTGGTGCAGGAAGGCTCGTAGAGCTCGCGGTGGAAGAATTTGGTCGCACGCGCTTTCGAGGCGCCATGTTGAGGTTGTGACAGAGATCGTAGGTATTTGCAGGAGTAAACCTCGAGAGCCTGGATACTTCTCAGGCCGCTACATCATCGATGATCTGGCATGTGGTCAAGGGCTATTAGCGGTAAACACTTGACACTGGCTGGCTGGCTGCCTTGATGGCTGGGACTGGGGGGGGGGGGACCAGCCCCTCTGTAGGCCCGTGCTGCCGTCACAGGCTAGCAGGCGGCGACAACGCCAGCGTCAGCGCCAACTGGAGTGCCACCAACAGCGCCAGCAGCAGTCGGTGGGCCGCTGGTGGGCGGGCGGTGAGTTGTCCTGCAGGGACAATCTTATCGCCCCCAGCTGCCTTATCTTATCGGTCGCATCCCGCATTGAAGGAAGAAAAAAAAAATCGACGAGCCCAGCGACGGGAGCTGGTGGATTGGATTCAGTGCAGCACTCGAGTCGGAGTGGTACCTTTACCTCACGACTTGTTGCATTACAACTCCACGAGCCGCATTCCACACAATGGGCTCACTCAAACGAAAGGAAGCCCCGGGAGGCGATATTCCCTCCAAGAAAGCAAAGTCTTCCAAGGATACCCGACCAGCCAAGTCCGACAAGCCGTCAACCTCGACCAGAGATGGCGCCGATAGCCAGAAGCGGGCCAGCTCCGGTGCCGATGCGCCCAAGTCGGTCATTTCTAGCATCCTCAAGGACGAAGAGCCCATGTTCCCTCGTGGTGGCGGCAGCGTCCTGACGCCGCTCGAGCAGAAGCAGATTCAACTCGAGGCGAAAGCCGATGCCTTGAGAGAGGGCGAATTCGATACCGAGGAGAAAACCAAGCACAAAAAAGAAAAGAGGAGGAAGTCCAAGCTCGGCGCCTTTGAAGATACCAAGAAGAAGTCCTCGTCAGATGAGGACGGGACCAAGATCGAGGCCCTGAACTACAAGGTAGGCAGCCAGCCCCCTTGTCATGAACCCCCTCATGCACTCGACTAACAGTGAACAGCGTCTCGCAAAGGGATCTGTTGTCCTCGGTCAAGTCTCCGCCATTTCTCACCACAACCTCACCATCGCATTGCCCAACAACCTCAGTGGCAATGTATCGATTGCCGCCATTTCCGATGTCGTCACGGCGAAGATCCAGCAAGCAGCCGAGGCCTCGGACGACGACGACGACAGCGCCGACGAGGGCGACGATGACGACGACATTGAGCTGAACTCGCTCTTTGAAGTCGGCCAGTATGTCCGTGCCTACGTCATCTCTACTAAGGAAGGCGAAGGCTCAGGAAAGAAGAACCACATTGAGCTGTCACTGCGCCCCGAAGACGCCAATTCCGGCATGTCGAAGAACGATGTAGTCGCCAACGCTACCGTCATGGCGGCTGTCACCAGCGTTCAGGACCACGGTTATGAGATGGAGCTGGGAGTCGACAATAAGAAGCTCAAGGGCTTTCTGCCGAAGAAGGATGTCGGCTCTGAAGTGGACGAGTTGAGGCTTCAGCCCGGCGCGGTGTCTCTCTGCCTTGTCAAGAGTGTCTCGGGCAAGATTGCTCAGCTTTGCCTGGACTCGGAGAAGATGGGAAAGGTCGACAACATTGCTACCGAGGCCACGACCGTCAACACTTTCCAGCCGGGTACCGTGGTGGACGTTCTGGTTACGAGCACCACCGGCCGTGGCCTCCTCGGCAAGATCCTAGGTCACCTCCCAGTTACTGCCGACCTCATTCACTCCGGTGCCGGTCCCGACGCTGTGGATCTCGATGCGAAGTACAAGATCGGGTCGCGCGTCAAAGCCCGCGTCATCTGCACATTCCCCAACGCAAAGAACCCCAAGCTCGGCATCTCGCTGCTCCCTCATGTTGTCAAGCTGCAAGCAAAGAAGGCCGGCAAGGGCGGGCAAGCCAAGCCCCCCCTCAACGTGCTGCCCATTGCTGCCCGTGTCGACAAGTGCACTGTACGCAAGGTTGAGCCTGAGATCGGTCTTTACGTCGACGTTGGCGTCGCAGGGCTGTCTGGCTTCGTCCACATCTCAAAGGTCAAGGATGGCAAGGTTGAGGCGCTCTATGAGTCGAGTGGCCCCTTCAAGGAGGGGTCTGTTCACCGTGGTAGGGTCATTGGCTACAGTACCTTTGATGGCATGTACTTGATGACGTTTGAGCCTACCATCATCGAGCAGCAATTCATCCGTCTTGAGGATGTGCCTGCCGGTGAAATTGTCAGCTGCATGATCGAGAAGGTGGTCGTTGGTGGGCAGGGCGTCAGTGGTTTGGTCGTCAAGGTTGCTGAAGGCATCACTGGTTATGTCCACGAAACGCACTTTGCCGATGTTCGTCTGCAGCACCCTGAGAAGAAGTTCCGCGAAGGCATGACCGTCAAGGCTCGCGTGCTGTCCGTTCGTCCCAGGAAGAGACAGATGCGCCTGACACTGAAAAAGACCCTCGTCAACTCGGATACGCCCATCATCAAGAGCTTTGACGAGGTTGAAGTCGGACAACAAGCTCTTGGCACCATCAGCGACATCTCCCCCCACGGCGCCCGCATCGAGTTCTACAAGGGTGTCCGGGGCTGGCTGCCTGTGTCTCAAATGAGCGAGGCGTTCATCCAGGACCCCAAGGAGCACTTCAAGGTCGGCCAGGTCGTCAACGTTCACATTCTCGAAGTCGACCCAGAGAACCAGAAGCTGTTGGTATCTTGCAAGGACCCGTCCGCTTTCGGCCTCGACAAGCAGGCTGCGCTCAAGGCCCTGTCTGTGGGATCAATCGTGTCGGGCAAGGTGATCCAGAAGTCCGACGATGATGTTCACGTCGAGCTTGATGGATCCAACCTCAAGGCCATCCTGCCCCTTGGCCAGCTTACTGATAAATCCGCCAACAAGAGCCAGTCTGCCCTGAAGAGGATACACATGGGCCAGACCCTCACCGACCTCTTGGTTCTCGACAAGAACGAACGTCGCCGCGCGATCACCCTGAGCTCCAAGCCTAGCCTCGTAGAGGCAGGCAAGACAGGCAAGCTAATCTGCACGTACGCCGACGCCAAGGTTGGCGCCGAGGTGCCTGGTTTCATCAGCTCCATCCGGCCCGGCGCAGTCCTTGTTCGATTTGGCGGTAACCTCGTCGGTGTCATGTTCAAGACGAGACTTCCCATCGAGGATCAAGAAAAGGAGGCCTTTGGTTTGCGCAAGGACCAGAGCATCACTGTCCGCATCCGCGCCATCGATCTCGAGAGGACTCGTCTCGTCGTCGACCCTTTGACAGCAGAGCTCCCCAGCAACGAGGCGAAACCCAAGAAGGAGAAGGAGTCCGCCCGGCCCCAGGCCCACGGACCCGTGCAGGACATCACGTTCGGCCAGATTGTTGAGGCTAAGATTGTCGGTATCCACGACACTCAGTTGAATGTCGAGACCGCAGACAAGGTCCAGGGCCGAGTCGACATTTCCCAGATTTTCGATTCTTGGGACAACATCAAGGATCCCGAAGAGCCGCTTTCTCAGTTCAAGAAGGGTGAGACTATTCGTGTCCGCGCTATCGGCCTTCACGACTCAAAAGACCACCGTTTCCTCGCCTTCTCTCACAGGTCCTACAACTCCGTCCTCGAGTTCACCGCCAAGGCCAGTGACATCGAGGCCGATGAACTCAAGCCCCTGTCCCTGGAGGATCTCCAAGTTGGCTCCACGCACGTCGCCTTTGTCAACAACGCCTCCCGCAACGGTCTTTGGACCAACATCTCGCCCGTCGTCCGCGGTAGGATCAACGCCATGGACGTGTCTGACGACACGTCCAAGATGAATGATGTTATCAACAACTTCCCCATCGGCACCGCGCTCAAGGTGCGCGTCATCGCCGTCGATGCGAAGCGCGGTGTCCTCGACCTATCAGCTCGCTCTGACTCTTCTGCAGCCGTGACCTGGGACAGCATCAAGCCGAACCAAGTCCTTGCCGGCTGTGTTGTCAAGGTCAACGAGCGTCAGATCATGGTAAAGCTTGGGTCGAACGTTGCCGGTCACGTTCATCTCGTCGACATGAGCGACGACTTTGGTGATGTTAACACTCTCAAGTACGACAAGGGCGACGCCATTCAGGTCTCCGTCGTGGAAGTAGACAAGAGCAACAAGCGCGTCCGCCTCTCGACTCGTCCCTCTCGCGTCCTGAACTCATCGTCTCCCATCACCGATCCCGAGATTACGAGCGTCAAGCAGGTCGTTTCTGGCAGCACAATCCGTGGTTTCGTCAAGCACGTGGCCGACAAGGGCGTCTTTGTGCTGCTCGGTGGCAACGTCTCCGCTCTCGTCAAGATCTCCAACCTCTCCGACCGTTTCCTCAAGGAGTGGAAGGAGCACTTCCAGGTTGACCAGCTCGTCAAGGGCCGCGTTCTGTCCGTTGACGAGGGCGCCGGCCAGGTTGAGCTGAGCCTGAAGAGCTCCGTCGTCGATGACAACTACAAGCCCCTGAAGACCTACAAGGATATCAAGCCTAACCAGATTGTCACCGGCAAGATCCGCAAGGTGGAGGACTTTGGTGCCTTCATCGTCGTCGATGGATCTGACAACGTCAGCGGCCTATGCCACAGGAGCGAGATGGCGGACAGCCCTGTCGAAGACGCCAGGAAGCTCTACAAGGCCGGCGACGTCGTCAAGGCCAAGGTCCTCACATTGGATCGCAACAAGAAGCGCATTTCTTTCGGTCTGAAACCCGCGTACTTCGACGACGATGTCGACATGGACGAGGGCGAGGGCGCTGCTCTTGATTCCGACAATGAAGAGGAGGACGAGGTTGACAGCGACGAGGGTGAGGATCTGGCAGAAGGCGGAGCGTCGATCAAGTTCATGGGCACCGACAATCTGGAGGACTCGGAAGACGAGCAAGACAATGCCGACTCGGACGAGGACGTGGACGAGGATGGCGACGTGGACATGTCTAGGGAGCAGAACGGTCTCAGCAACGGGAAATACGACTGGGCTGGCGACGCGTTTGACGACTCCGACAAGGAAACCCGCTCAGCGCCCGCCAAGAACAGCGCGTCGAAGCAGAAGGAGACGAAGAAGCCCAAGAAGGACGAGATCCAGATCGACCGCACGGCCGCGCTCGATGTCCACGGACCCCAGACGGCCAGCGACTACGAGCGTCTGCTGCTGGGTCAGCCCGACTCGTCTGCTCTGTGGATCGCGTACATGGCGCTGCAGATGCAGGTCAGCGAGCTGACCAAGGCGCGTGAGATTGCCGAGCGGGCCATCAAGACGATCAACATCCGCGAGCAGACCGAGAAGCTCAACGTGTGGATCGCGTACCTCAACTTGGAGGTGGCCTACGGCACCAAGACGACCGTCGAGGAGGTGTTCCAGCGGGCATGCCAGTACAACGATGACCAGGAGATTCACGAACGGTTGGCAACCATCTACATCCAGTCTGGAAAGCACAAGGTAAGCCAGCCCCGGCTCTTCGCACTGCTGCCACAAACCCCGTCCTCCCTTCCATTGTGGGTTGAACCAAGCCATGCTGACGTTCTTTGCAGAAAGCAGACGAGCTCTTCCAAGCAACGGTCGCCAAGTTCGGCTCCAAGAACCCCAACCTCTGGACCAACTATGCCCACTTCCTCCACGCGACGCTCAACCAGCCCGACCGCGCGCGCGCTCTTCTGCCCCGCGCGACGCAGGCCCTCGGCGAGCAGCACACGGCGGCCCTCATGGCCAAGTTCGGCTCGCTCGAGTTCCGCTCGCCCAACGGCGACGCCGAGCGCGGTCGCACGACGTTCGAGACGCTGCTGGCGACGTGGCCGAAGCGGTTCGACCTGTGGAACCAGCTCGTCGATCTCGAGATGGCGGCGCCGGGCGCCGACGCGACGGCCGTGCGCGACGTGTTCGAGCGCGGCACAAAGGTCAAGGGCCTCAAGGCGCAGAGGGCCATGAAGTGGTTCAAGAGGTGGGCTGAGTGGGAGGGCAAGACGGATCCCAAGGGTAAGGAGCGTGTCATGGCCAAGGCGGCCGAGTGGGTGACGGCTGCCAAGGCGAGAAAGGAGGCCGGGGCTGCTGAGGACGAAGACATGGAATAAACAGCGAGAGTGAGAGAGAGAGGAGGAGAGAAACAGATCCAGACCATGGCGTGTTGTACTTTACATCTATACCAGTCGCTAGGGGGGCATTGGGTTTTCACCGTGGATTTCAAGCATTTGGCGTACAAAATCTTCAATTCGTCGACATGATTATCTACAACCGTCCATGATCGCTAGGCATACCACGTAGTGAATTGTTCCTTCATCTCCTCAATGATGAAACCGACGCACCGTCGTCGCCAAACTCTTGGCCCATGTCCCGCGTTACAACGACCTCCGTTTTCTTCACGATGCCTGTTCCGTCGAGAATAAACTCTGTGCTGCCGGCGTCGCTCGTCCCCTTCCAAACTCGTGGTCAACACCGCTACCAAGCGGCATGATTCCACTGCCTCTTCCCCTCCAGCTGCGCATGGCAAAATCCCCGCCGCGCGCAGCGCTCGACGCGCCGGTACCCTGAGCAGCGTACTTTTGCGAAGGCCCGCCGGAGGCACCAGTGCTCCTCTCGCGGAAAGCCTTGACTAATGGTGCCAGAGTCGGGACGCAGGTGACTATGACGCCGAGATTGTTCTCGATGGTGGACCACATGATGAGCGGGGCGGAGTCGAGGTAGTTGGCCAAGAGGACAACAGTCTGGATGCGGAAAATCTGAATGATGGTAGTGAAGACACCCAGAGCCAGGAGGCCCAGAAGGACGAGCTTCTTGCGGCGCTGAATCTAGGCTCGGAGGAGGACGGGGAATGGCAGGAACATATTGTTGTTGTCAGTTTGGGGGAAAGACTATGGAGTTGACGGTGGGAGGAACACGTACACTACGACGTCAAACAAGATCGTCAGGGAGGCCATGCTGAGGTAGAAGTGTACGGCCTTGACACAAGTGCCGGCGACGGAGGTGTCCCATTGGAGGCGGGTAGGGGTGCAGAGGTTGATCTGAACAATTAGAAACGAAAGGTGGAACATGCTGCAGAGGGCAATGACTATGTATGTTGCATAGCGATAGACACCCTTGGGTATGATTCGGAGGTAGGAGAAGAGGAGGCTGAGCTTGAAGCCGTAGATGCTGGTAATGTAGCTGTCAATTGTTAGAGGAGGTCGCGTCGAAGGCGGCACAAAGGCGAGATGGTGGAGAACGTACAACGGAGCGCCCATATACTGCAGAAGACCGAATTGGTAGACGTTTTCCTCTGGAAAATCATCAAGATGCAATAGACCAAGACCCCATTTTGTCTCTGCTGGAGCGTTAACGGATGCGGCACAAGACTGCTCAGCGTGGATGAACTCACGAATGATGGTGACAATGGCAAATCCGGCGCAGCCAATCTACAAATCAAGTCAGGCGAGATCTAAGAAACCAAGAAAAATTGAGCAATTCTCATCCTTACCCAGGTGAAGCAGATAATCCAGTCGTCTGAAAAGTTGTCAGTCATAAAGCACCTCCTCCTTTAGCTTTTGTTGTGCAGAGATACATACCCGCTCCGGTGGCTTTGATCAGGAATCCTCTCACATACATGCGGAGGCAAATAACAATTAGAGACAGTGTCGTAAAGGCGATGGCGATCCCGGTAATCATAGGGCCATCGTTGGCTGTGCCCACAGGGGTGCCATATGTCCAACCCTCGGCCGACATGACGAAAGCCAAGTTCCTTGGTGCGGGAGCGATAGCCTCTCGAACTGTGATCGGCACAAAGAACACAGCAAACAGACGTAGATCCAGAATGAGTTGTAGTGAGGGAGCGATGTCCTCGGGGTCGAGGTGTGGGACCGCCGATAGAAGTATGCTTGCGAGGAGGGCAGAAAAAAAGGGGGTCTCTTCCCCCCCTCTCTTCATATGATGCCACTGCTCGATATCGCCAAAAGCCGAAGCAAGCGAGTAAGTCAGGCTCCCCTGGTGCGTTTGTTGGTGAGCCGGAGAGACGGGGCCCCTAACCATCCAACAGCATGGACTCGTCCTCCTCTGTCATGGCGCCCTTTTTTGCCAACCAAAGCTGCGACCCTTTCCAGCCTCGCGAGCGCCCATGCACTCTCGGCAACTACTTGTTTATGCCGTTGACGCTCGCACGCCTGGTGATATCCAGGCCGCCATCATCTTTGCTAAGAAGTATAACATCCGTTTCGTCGTTCGCAACACGGGTCACGACTACAATGGCCGTTCCACTGGTGCTGGCGCGATCTCTGTTTGGGTTCACAACATGAAGGGCGCCAAGGTCGTCGACTGGGCCGACAAGAACTATCAGGGCAAGGCAGTCACCGTCGCTGCCGGCGTTCAGGGTTTTGAGGTTATGGACGCTGCCAACGCCGCTGGCCTCGCCGTCGTGGGCGGCGAGTGCCCCACCGTCAGTCTTGCCGGAGGATACACCCAGGGTGGAGGCCATTCGGCCCTGTCGACTGGCTTCGGTCTCAGCGCCGATAACGTTCTCGAGTGGGAGCTTGTCACCGCGGATGCCAAGGTCGTCAAGGCCAGCCGTACCGTGAACGCGGACCTCTACTGGGTGGGCTCTGTCCGGTGGTGGTGGCGGCAACTGGGGCGTTGTCACCTCGGCCACCGTCAAGGCGCACCCTGATGCTGTCTTTGGTGGCGCCACCGTCGCCTTCTTTGCTGCCGAGAACGATGCGACTGCCTTCTACAAGGCTATCGATGCATTCCACGAGGAGCTTGCCGCCATGGTCGATCCTGATACCATGGTTGTCTACTACTTTGCGGCCGCCTTCTTCCAGATTGCACCCATCAACGCCTACAACAAGACCGAGGCGGAGGTCCGACATGATTGCCAACCAAAACCTCATGACCAACACGCTCATCCCCGCTATTGAGAAGCTTACCCCCGGTGGCGGTGTGTGCCAGAACGAGGCCGACTTCCGTCAGCCTCGCTGGCAGCAGGAGTTCTTCGGTGCCAACTACAACAACCTTCTCTGCATCAAGAAGGAACGCGATCCAGAGGGCTTCTTCTATGCCCTCAATGGTGTCGGCAGCGAGGCGTGGACTGTCGCCAGCAACGGGCGTATGTGCAGGGCTTAGTGATATAGATGGATATATGCAAAAACGTACAATAGCAGCCTGATAATGCCATCTTTCCGCCATTATACAGGTGTTGGTGCAAACGCGAACCACTCTTTGATTCCCACCGCCGCATAAGGCCCGTTGCCTGACCCAACAAACACTGCCCGTAGCATGGTTGTCTTGACCGTGGCGAAGCCTACCTCGGCGGGTGAATCCGTCACCTCGTTTGGGTACGGCCCCTCGGCCGCCACGTCCTTCCACGCGCCGTCAGCGGCACGATACTCGACCCTCCACTCTCTCGGTGGCGCCACGCCAAAGTCAGCCCCCGCCGGCGCGTCGGCGAAGAAGGCGACGGCCACGCCGTTGAGCTCGACTGTCGCGTTCCACGTATAGGTGAGCACGCTCTCGCGCGGCGACGCCTCTCCAGCCCACGCGGACCAGTAGTCCGGCGGCAGCGGCGTCGAGGGGACGCGCTCGTCGTGCAGAGCCGCAAGCCAGTACTGGACGGGCGTGCGGGGGTCGGACGACGGCTCGGCCAGCGGCGCCACGTTGCGGCTCGGTGGGCGCGGGGCCGAGAGGGCTGGACGGACGGAGCGTTCGACGGGTCGGATAGACGGTGGGTTGGTGGCGTCGTCAAAAAGGAGGGGGTCGAGGGCGATGCTGCGGCGAAAGTGGCCGCCGCCCTCGGCGTCGGCAGTGTGGTAGACGAGAAAGTGCGCGCCGTCGGCGAGGGCGTAGACGCCTGGGTGGCTCGTCGTGCTGGAGACGATGGGGAGGACGACGCCGCGGAAGGTCCAGGGGCCGAGCGGCGACGAGGCGGTGCCGTAGGCGATGCAGGCGTGGTACGAGGTCGGCGTGCAGGGGGAGTCTGGGCCCGCGTTGTTGGCGGCGTAAAGCATGTAGTAGGTCTCCTTGCGCTTCATGAACCAGGGGGCCTCGAAGAAGCCCGTGAGGGTGGTGACGGCCGTGATGCTGCCGATGATGGTGGTCATGTCGGACCCGAGCTCGACGCCGCGCAGCTGGTTGAAAGAGCCCCAGTAGACAAAGACGCGATTGTCGTCATCCACCAGAACGACTGGGTCGATATTGTGCATGTCGTTGCGGACGGGCACGGCCTGGGAGATGATGGGACCGTCGGGGTGCGCATCAGTAAAGGGGCCCATCGGAGAGTCAGACACGGCGACGCCAATGCCAAAGGCGTCCTGCGTGCCGGGATCTCGCTGAGTGACGGACGCGAAGAAGTAGAAGCGGCCGTCGGCGCCCTGTATAATCTGGCTCGCGTAGGCGCCTCCCGAGTCGGCCCATGCGAACAGGACCTCGGGACGGGCGACGGCGCGTTGCAGAGTCCACTCGCCACCAGCGGGGTCAGGATTCTCGGCCGAGAAGAGCTGCCATTCGTTCATGATGAAGGCGTTGGTCGTCGGCAGCGCTTCATCGCGGCCGCTCAGGATGTAGACCGTATTGTTCACGACAAAGGGTGCTGGGTCGGCCGAGTAGATGGAGCCATCGGAGAGGATGGGGTTGCCGTCGGAGACGAAAGTCTCTGTCTGCCGGCGATGCAAGGAGAGCGAGAAGACGGGCAAGACCACACAGGCGGAGATGAGCAGACGGTAGTACTTCATCCTGGCGAGTTCGTCCGTACGTTGTCCGACCAGGTAGGTTCCTAATTGGTCAGCCAGGTAAGGATTAAGAGTAGGGAGATGCTCCTTGTGTTGTGTGGTTGTCTACAGGTGTGTTTGTCTGACGTGGTCTTCCCACTGTTGTCTTGATATACCTAACCAAAGCAGCTGCCGTGTAATGGGGCATGCATTTCCCACATGTGGCAAAGACAAGCCATCTTTACGTAGATCCAACAGGAGCATGTAGTCGTCTTCACGGTCTCACTACTACTTCACCTGAAATAGTGTCTGCCCTCCTACAGCCGTATTCGAGGTACGCATCTGACTCGAGCGGCTGCACCTCGAGATTCAAACGTCACTGTAGTTGTCGCGTATAGACAGACATGGGCACCTTCTTCATTTGTTAATCGACCATGACGGGAGGGAGAATGCACCGTGGTCTTGCGCGCCAATGATGGGCCCGCTCTCCAACATGACGTTGCATTGCAGACAATCGGATGCCGCGGTTGTTGGTCGATCAAAGGCAATCTCAGCAAATGTCACAATTTCCCCGCCATCTGCACGCTGGGGAGCGGATGCTGTGCTTTCCGACGCCGCTTTTGGCTGTGGGTCAATGCATTTACCTGAGGTTGGCCGAAATCGTCGTGGCAGATTCGCTATTCGTGGATGATGCTCTCCGCGCGAGATCATGCGGCGAGCACATACTGTCGAGACTGTGTATGTGGTGCCCACTATCAACAAAACCAACGTGGTTTCCAGCGACAATTTGACTGATATGGGCGTCAATGCAACGATCCGACTTGTGCGTTCGCTCAGACTCACCAGCCACCACACGGGATCAATCGCCATGGAGGCGTCACCCAGAGCTTGGAGAGAAGAATTCACCGTGAGTCGTGGTCACGCCTCTGAGCGGCGCCGTGAGGGTCAAAAAGAGGAATCCTCCAGTTGCGGGCTGGCTGTGTCCCGGGCAGCGGACAAACCTGCAAAATAAATGGATAGCAACTGGACGTTTCGATCGTCCGACCTCCGGGTTATGAGCCCGGCGCGCTTCCGCTGCGCCAAGTTGCTTTCTTCCTTGTTGAGATGAGGCCAAAATTGGCCGGATTATGTAGTCATCGTGAGATGGAGCAAGCACTGATCGGCCCGCTTGGTGGGCGACGACGTGGGTCTCGTCCGGCTTCGGCAACCGACCAACGAGCCCTAGCTAGAGAACGTGGCTCATCAGGTGAGCGGGTGCGTGGTCATATCAAGCTAGTACCGACGGGAAAAATGGTCTTGTCGTTGATGCTGACACGCGTGGCGGAAGGGGGCCGAGGGACCTTGGGTAGATACATGGTAAGTCGGTAGGTAAGTAGGTAGGCCCCTGAGGTTGACGTTGACGGCGGTCTCCCATGTCTTTCCCGATCGAGCACAATGCGCCTGATTCAGCCACCACTGATTGGCCTCGAACAGGACTCCAGCACTTGGTCACGCATGGCATCCGTGCCATGGCTTTGCAGTGCCCGTTACAAGCAGGATAGATAAGGAACGTAGCCTGCATTTGCCTACCATGTCACCCTGGTTCGGGCAGAGTTCGCGTCCTGGACGAAGTCGCCAGTTGGCCCACCCAGGCAGGACATGGCAGCGTAATCTTCTCCTGTCCCCACCACGCCGCACCGCCCCCCGCTTCTCGACGCTCTGTGTCCCACCCGATCACAAGCACAACACCCGTTGAAAATCTCACGATACCCACTGCTCGCAATAATTGTTCTCTCTCCCCCACCGGTCGACATGGTCGCTGCAGATGCCGCCCGTCTCTCATCAAAGCGTGAATGGTTTAGTGGTAAAATTCTCCGTTGCCATCGGGGAGCCCTGGGTTCGATTCCCAGTTCACGCAGAGTGACATGTACAGCATCATCAGGGACGTCTCTGAGGTTGTTGGTACCATTTTTGTTTTGGATACTTTGGCTCGGCGTTCTGGTCCCGGCCCTGGTCCAGATTTGAAGACTGATAGCATCGACGCTATTGGAACTGATTGAAGAATGAGCCAACATGTAGACAAAAGATGTGCTGCGTTGGGATGCTGCTTCAGGCCTCAAGTTGTAGCTATGAAGAATCACTTGCATATTGATGGGGGAGCGAGGCCGACCCTGCCCACGATGGTCTGCGAGAACATGGGCCAAAGAACCCGGGATGATACTGTCTAGGTCCTCCAAGTGCTGACAAGTGACATCCGATGCAAAGCAGCCCAGAATCGGCCTGTACCTTTCACCTCCATGTCACTGTCGACTATTGGTTGCCCAATGGCAAAACTGGCCAGGAAAGCCAAAAGGTTAATCCAGTGACGGCCCACTGGAATACATCAATTGAATGGGATGGGATTCGAACCCATGCCTACGAAGTAGACTAGCACCTGAAGCTAGCGCCTTAGACCGCTCGGCCACCCATCCTACTGTTGATCGTTGTAGGCTGGATTGGAAAGCTGTCTTATACAGTCTACCCCCTGCTAAGAATCATAACTACAAGACCCCTTCTTTGAGCCATTGTGCGATAGAAGGGTTTTTACGGGTGGAGGACATTTCTGGGTTTTATAGGAGAAGGAGACGGTAGCAGGCTTTGGAGGTTAAGCCAAAAATCTCGTCATGAGACTCTCGCGCAATCCTTGTACAGGCGAGAACATGGGACCATCAGTCAGTTCCCCGCCCATGTCGGACACAAACCCCAGATCTACAGATGCGGGCTCAAGGCCCATCTCTTCATCATGCATCATGATATCTTTTGATCGCACGTTGCAGAACCCACCTCGAAGCCGAGCTGACATTGCATCTCATTATTCTTGCGCCCCAATGACGTCCCGGCGCTTCAGTCCCGAACGATCAGTCGCCGGAGGACAATACGGGAGTACCCCGCACCCGAAACGTCAGATGCCCTGTGGAATGTCTGGGGAATGCGCCGAGGATCTACATGAAGGCGACCAAAAGGGCAGCTCGGTGATACTGGCCTCTAGTTCCGGCACTTGCTCGCCATGGCTGGAGATCGGATCATCACTATACGGAGCTATTATTGCCCCCCTCGTTTCGACTGAGGCACCGGAATTCGATTTGGGGTGACGGTCTCAAGGAGATGTGTAACGCCTGGTCGAGTATTTATATGTGTGATCTTCAGGCCGGAGAATGGCCTGGTCCTTGCTGATGAGCGGACAGCTTGATCTACCAAGACCCATACTCGCATCCCGGAAGACTGCAGGCTGCCCAGCATGCCATTCTTCGCACCAGGTTGGCCAGCAGCCGTCGTCAGCGTGCTTGCCGCCTCAGCCCTCGGTCAGGGAACGAACTTTCCCCCAGACACACTAGGACTCGAGAATGGCCTTATCGAGATCGATAGACCCAACTTGAGCGCCCGCATTGTTCGCGACGCCCA